CTTTAACACACGACTCGTGACTACAATCAATTATAGCTTCATCGCTGATCTCGACACTTAACAGATTACTACAGCATACGCTAAGTATTCGGTGTGCTGTCACTAGTCGTTCCCTGAACGTATCTTAACAGCGGAGATTCTTCAGCTTGTGTTCTCACTTCGTTGCCAGCTGGCTCTCAACTGCATCGAGTAAGTCTTCTGCTTACAGACTTTCCCTCAACTCTATCTTGCTCCAGTTGTTCTCCTTATGACTTCACGGCACGGACCGTATAGAAAACACCGTTTATTATTGTAATCCAATTGCTTCCATGGGAATATGTTTGTTTGCGAAGGCGTTGTTAAGGAACCGCTGCGTATACTTGCTTATTAAGAATCTGTTGTGCAACGGCGGATTTTGTTTCGTTGTTTGTTTCGAAGTCGTTGCTTAGTAAAGTGGTCTGTACGCTACAGTACGCATGTAATGGTGCCAGGTGCGAAGCAAGACCAACGTAGTTTTTATGGACGTGGAGCATACTGGTGGATTTGTAATTGAATCAGAACTCGTCTGCCTCGACATGGAGTAGGGCTGTAACCACACGAGAATTCTACGCGCAATTTAATTATTATAGCTACGCGATATCGCGCTGTGATTTGGTGCACAGGGGAGAGGGTGCATTGTATCAATGAAACAGCGGCGGAGTCTGGTTCCAGCAAATTGAGTGGCTTTGTCACATGCTGGCAGCTTGACTCTGTAGCTGCCTTCAATCCACGGAATGCTACCTCAGCTGAGCAGCACTAACCAACTGGCTGACCCCTTCAACAACTAATCTCTGATAACATAGCCCGAAGCTGCACCGTCAAAAATACTGAAGACCGTAATTTAATGCAATTCCGAAACGTCAGTCCTATTCTCAAACAATTTCCCAAAGATCATTTTGAATCTTAACCTCATTCCTATTTTCAGTTGCTGTTTTTCAAGAGGTTTCCCCATAATTCGTACAAACTTGATTCTCTCTTAACTTGGTTAGTAATTATGATATTTTTAATTAAGGACCTAAATGGATATTTAGTTAGTCCTATAGCCGACATATTGAGTCAGTTAACAGATTTTGAAAGAACTTGGCTCGATGCAGAGCCGTTGCACCAGTAATACAGTGTGTGCTTCATCTGGTTGAATTAACTTTAGGTCACGTTTTGATTACCGGATTACATAGTATTGTGACATGACGCCTGAAAGCTGCAGTCTGTCCATATGCTAGGCGGGGCTTGGCTGAACACGTTCCCGTGGCAACACGGAAAGCGTCGCTGCTGGACGGCGAATTGTTGGAATACGTTTCCATAGCAACGAATACGACTGAAGACGCAATGCATTGCATACAGCGTCACGCCGATTCCTAGGCAATGCATACAGAAACGTTTCCGTTCATACTGCAACGAAACTCCAAAGCACTGTAACAGCGCAGAACGCGATAACTCGACTGTTGAAGGAGGTGATCTCTATACGGTTCGACCTGAATCTACCTCAGGGAGAGAATTGGCAAACAGAAGTAGAAGAAGAAGTCAGTAATGAAGTCTTTATTTTATATGGTTTAGTTACAGTAACCATTAGATACTTACTGATCATACTTACGAAGTGTTATAATTAGAGTAAGATTGTATTAAAACTAATTGCAGTTCCGCCTGGTGAATATCCAATAAATCGATTCATTTAATCCTGAACCATATATTTAATCATCGCGTTACCAGGATACATGGCAGTATACTTTTAGATATATTTCGCGAAGTAAGGTCTACTTGTTTGGGAGAGTGATGTGTTAAATTAAGATTGTAGTGGCACGTTATATCCTACATTATCTGCACAAAGTAATTAGTTTCAAGAAAATTACAATTTAAGAAAACATATTATAAGAGATATGGAAAGCCATGTTTTGGCTCTTAACCATTGCACCTTCATCTACAGGATATCCATTTTATGCAAGACGAACAATTACACCAGACGCAGTGCGTGAATTGGCGCACCTTTTATATTCTGATGCGCAAGCGCTATTTCCGAGTCTTGTTTGAGTGAAGACGTGGATATTTTTTTAATCTACACGGTTTAGAATAATAGGAGTACATATGGATAACACAACCAGCCAATTTTACTCGTGCGTAAATAAATTTTTAAACGAATATTAATAATAAAAAAGGAATCTCTATCACAGACCTTAACTATAAAAATTTTGCGGTTATGAGTTTATTAAAACTAATATAAGCAGCCAGTGGGATGAAGAGTGTAAAACCCATGAACACGACGTAAATGATCATATAAAAGTTTGAGTAATGATGGTTGAGATTTTATAACTTGGTTGCATGTGCAGTGTGGCCACAGAATTATTGAGTATCGCAGATATTTGAGAGAAATTTGTTCTGATGCTCCGAACGAGGACAATTGTTGGCTCTCACGTGACACTCACACCATGTTTGGGGTTGATCTTATTTCCTGAGAAACTCAGAAGCCACCCTCCTTTGTCGTTGTGACTTCAGTTAAATTCAACATCAATTAAATTTGCTTTTATGAATCGTGGATAGGAGCAGTGTTGAAACCAGGGATTTGCATTGAGGAAGTGAGGAATACAACAGTAAACTTCAGAAGAGAATATCTCCAGACTTACGTTCACCCTTTAAAAGACAAAGTCGAAGTGACGTCACACTTCGCCTTTTCCTGTTTCGCGAACATCTGCATTTTCATGATTCTGTATGACCTCTGCTTGTTGCACAATTTCGTTATATAATCATAAATATGCAGTACTTTGAGAACCATGTGCAGTTCGCGAACAGGGGTGTATTTTGGAAATTTACCAGTGGTGCGGATAAATTTGTTGTGGAGGCGCCGCAATTTCAGCAAATTCCCAGGCGGGGCAAGCATAAGTCATTACTGATATAATTAGTGCCTTATGGAGGTATTTTTATTGTTAGCGCAAAATCGCTCACTGCTGAACAGAGATTAGGCACTAATAAATGTTCTGAAGTCCTTGGCTTTAATTATTTCTACATGCAGACTCCATGCAATCCTCTTGTCAAAAATCATACCGAAGTATTTTACGTGATTCACGAAAGGGGTGTTCCGTCCGTTCAGCTAAAATGAACCTCAGGTGGTCTCAGGCTACGAGAGAAGTAAACGACCCGAGTTTTAGCTTCATTTATTTTAATGTTCCTGCACTTACACCGCGTCTCAGTTAAAGTCAGACCGCGCTGCAGGTTTCTGAGAGCATAGCCATCTTTGTGTAGTCCTGTTAAGCGTACTCATACCTCCTTTTTTGTCTGCAGACCGTAAGAGGTGTAGCAAGGGCAGACCCATTCAGTTAATTTTTTCCTCGGTCCTTCAGTTGGGCACCCACCGTGCACACACTTTCCGAAACACCAAACAATCGAGCTTTATGCTGTATACTAAACCATGGGAACACACTAGTGCAGTTGCTGCACTGCCTATCGTTATCCTCCTGTCAGCTCGAATTAGCTCTTCAACCCGCTGCACAGTTGCTTCTGTCGCAATCTCAACAGGGCGACATGGTCGGGCATCATCTGCGAGTTTTGAACGTCCTTGAGAGAATTTCTGCACCCAGTTCTGGACCGCTTTGTGCGACAAACACTTACCACCATAAACAGGAAACATTTCCTTATGAATATGCTTTTCATCGAGTCCTTTTGCCCACAAAAGAAGCACAACAAAACTAGCTCTTCAGTAGTATACTCCTCAAACATGGTCACCAATTTGACTACTTAAACCATCCCTGAACATGCGCATGCTCGTCTGCTACCTAGACTGTCATGAAGATGGACTGTATTGTTACCTAGTGATAGACATACTCGTAGAAACCTATTACATCCATTAGAGCTGTTTTAGTTCCATTTGTGACCTATTTACTGACTCTTCCTCATACATTCTAAAAGTACCTGGTGAGATTACCGGCACTAAAACTAGCTGTCCCGACTTAGGAGTTTCTTAAATTCGTTGACAGACGCTTTTGAGGAAAGAACCGGTTCATTACCTTCACAAGGACACGATGGGTTCCATCCCAGCTCATTAATCTTTGTCATTCTTACATCCCGCCTGACGCTACATAAAATATGCACTTAATAAACGCCTTTAATTGCTAGGTATTTCACCGCACAAAAGCTTTTCCTCGACATTGGGAGCCCAGAGCAGGCCCGTGTGATTAGTGTTCTCAGTTATAGCAAGCAATAGTTAATTGGAATATTTTCGAACAAATTTTATTGGCTGTACTTGATACATTGTACAGGGTCACTTGGTTGGGCTTTGTTCGTCGCCTTATTTTTTCCAAATAAATCCACAATAATTGGAAATATGTTTGCGTCCGTCATCAGGCAGAGAGAAAGAGAAGGGATTCCTACTTAGAGCCCTAGATATAGCTCATCCTTGGTTCAGGGCTTCCCGTTTCCATGATAGATTAAATATAAGTATCTCATTCACATTTCTGAATAAGGAAATTAAGGCTGTTGACTGGGGTTCGAATCAAGATGGAGACTATTTCCTCCCAGCGGAGCGTACGAAAGCTGGAGTCTGCATGTAATATTGAACCGTACCCAACTGCCCGTCTAGCCCTCAGGCTTACATTAAGCCAGAAGGACGGAGGGGCATGTCCAACTCACCTCTGATTTAATTGTTGTTTCCCAGTGCCCCTTGGGGCGGGGATATAAAGCGCGAGTATTAGCGTCTGTCAACAGGATATGTCCAAAAAACTATACAGAATTGAGCAGGAGACGGCGGTGAGAGATAAACAAGTAACAAAATGTGTAACTAATAAAGTAAAAGAAATAGAAATATTGGAACTGCTATTCAGACAAGCGGTTAGACAAAGCCGTCACACGATGCAACACAACATAAAGGTTACATGTCCATAAGTAGGAATGAGATCAGCAGCCAGCGTGAACGGCATAAGAGGTGAGATGCCAGCTGCAGTCAGCAGTTGTAACTATGAAACAGCTGTATCCGCCGTTAGAACTACATATCCAAAAAATTCAATTCCTGTATATTTTATTCGAAGTATAGGGTTAATAAAGAGTTAATCCAAAAGGGAAGCACAATAGATCATTGAGGGTTGCAGTGCGAGGGCCGGATTTTATGGCCCACATACATACACACACATACATCGATAGATTCTTGTTTCGTTTTCGTAGGATTATCTCTTCGAATCTCTGCTGAGAACCAGTGATTGTACTAAAGTGTTAAGTGATTTGCATCATATTCAAGTACGTTGAAGCTCTTCATTGTTCTGGCACAACATTCATTCCTACAAAAGTCACGCTTTTAGATTTCCTGTCTCCAGATTTCAGTTTATAGCTGTACAGTTTACCAAAGGAATCAACTGAAGATATGAGTCCGCTTGGAGTTTCTAACCATAAATTGCGAAAATCGCAAGTCCCACAATTGCACCACGTGGAGTGAACAGGCGATGCGTGTTACTTAGTTCTCCTCATGTCAGTAGGTGCATGTGGGTCGCTCGCATCAGTTGCTTCGGCGCGGTTTGACGGTCCTGACGGTGGGCGGAGAAATCTTCGAGAATCCAGCTGCATCGAACACCGGAAGCATATCGCGCACCCGCCGACCGGAAGCCGTCACCACATCAAACACCCTGTAAAGAAGAAGTGAGGGCGAAGTGAACGTTAATGCTGGACAGATTGACGACCAGTAGAATGTTACACGCTTGAAAGTAAGAATAGGCGGGAAATATTATGAAAGAGAACTGATACGTTAAGTGAGCCTACATGGGGCTACGGACGAGTTTTTGTGATGAAGATGATACCTGATACCCATCAGTCTACTGTACCTGTTGCCCAAGAAGGACTTCCTCCCGCTGGTGCGGAGCACTGTCGTCGCCTCAGCAGCCTCTGTGGGGAAGAACGTGGCGCCATAGAAGTCCAGGCCATTCTGCAGTAGAGTGTTCCTTTCTTCTAGCGATGCTACCGTCACCCTGACCAGCGGGGGCGACGTGGAGATGACAGGCAGGCCTGCCGCCTTATCAGCTGCTGGGAGAAGTAGTGGTCTCATTCAGCTAGCTCAGGATTTAGTCCGGTGTCCACAATAAAACCGAGGAAAACTACTGCCCACGTCAATTACTGACTTTCTGGACATCACCCGTTATCCTGTTTTTGTTTAAAGAACGTTTCGGAGACCTGACCCTGTCTCTGTCCTCAGGTAAGAAGCTTCCTCAGCAGAGTCTAACAGATAGAGCTAGCCTCCAGACACAATAAAATGTAGAACACATATACCAAACACAAAATAAACCATTCGCGGGTGTTCGGACAGAAATTTAAAACGGTACATGCATGAGGCTTCTGCATACGGGCTGGAAGACCGAGGGATCAGAGTTCGAGCCCCTGTGGGCTCTAGAATTTTCTGTTCACGTCGTCCAGACCGGCTCTCAGGTCCACCCAGCCTCCTATTCAATGGGTACAAGGGGGCACTTTTTCCAAGTTTAAAGCGGCCGGGACTTGAAGCTGAACACTCAGCTCCAGCTAGTGCCGTGGTCAAGAAAATGTGGATGCATACATTCACTCCCCCTACGCCTTCGTGGCGTAGCGCTTAATTAGTTAAGCACAGGGATAACTTTACCTTATACTTTTACATGCATGAGGACAGGATGTTTCTCTCTTTGCCACCTTATCCAGATTTGCTCTGGCGTCCAGCCTCGTTTGTTGGGTACCGGCGTCACTGTCATTGGGTATCACTCAAGGTCGCTGTCGTTACGGACATGACAGTGTTTAGTTTGGCAAGTGAGGTCAAATCCTGAGGTGGATCATACTGATTCCATCTTCAGAGCAAAATGCTAAAGTTCTCCTGTATCACGTTGATACTTTTCTTCCAAAATGAACCTTGTCATTTATCGCCGTTAGAATATGAAATTTCGCTGACCATTGAGAATGCATTGGAATGCGTTAGTTAATCACAAAAGAAACTCCACTTTCACCTTACCTGAGCCTGGATTTCCTGCAGTAGTTTTTTCTGCTGCTGCTGATCCAGTCCCTGATGTCATACCAGTCCCTGAATCCTTGGGCAGTCTGGCAACTTCGACTACAGACTGAAACTTGTACAGGGAATGTCTGATATCTTCCTCTGGAATGTCTTCTGGAATTTCCAATACAAACACTGTAAAGGTTTTCTGCGGACGGCAGGGGATAGGAACCTGGAAAAAAATTGATGTGCCTTATTTTATTTATGAAACTTTTCAGGAGCGTGAAATTTCCAAATTTTATTATTGTAATACAGATTTTATTCCACTAAATTCGCAGGCTATTTTATCATGTCCCCAAAATAATTCATTATTTTACTTTCTTTATAAAATTTTTAAAAATATAAACTTTTCAACTCAGTGGTGTACGTGTTCGCAGTTGACACGTGTCCAAGTGCCCAAGATCCTTCACCTCCCTATGAAACTTTATATTTTATCTCAGCTATAAAAATCATGATTGAACCCTGTCTTTATCCCGTTTCGCCATTTCCACTTCTCTGTCATTTCTAGGTCTCCCAGCACTGGCAAGAGACTGTTGGGTCACTTTGGCTCTGCAACTGACTTATGGGTATTATATTTAAGCATCCTGTTGCACTCTACACGATAAATGATACAAGCTCCGTCTCTAGTGCAAACAATATATATTATATGTCTTTGATCTTGTTCTTTCTACACTACATGTTTCGGCCTCTATCGGCCATCATCAGGTGTATACTCTTAACGTTGCTGCTACACTGAACCCAGTCTAAAATTTAACATTTAAGAACACAATGTCACTTTCTTCGTATTATCAACATGGGACTACCCATTCCCCCTACACTCACTAACATAAAACACAGCACACAATACAGCAGACAGCACACGTAGTAAAGACAAGCAGCGGCACCCACACAAGAAGACTACATTAAATAACACCTGTACAGTGTGGAAACAAGAACTAGCCGCTCCAGCACTTTAGACATAGGGCGAGTAACCCTAAGAATTTTAAATTTTAAATTTAAAATTTAGAGAAAATTTTAAAAGATATTAAAAACATCATAACTAAAGATTTTATAGTGCTGCTATAGGAATATCAAATTTGACGTGTGCATTATAATCTACATACCAGACACATATCAACGAGGTAGATGTTGATAATACGAAGAAAGTGACATTGTGTTCTTAAATGTTAAATTTTAGACTGGGTTCAGTGTAGCAGCAACGTTAAGAGTATACACCTGATGATGGCCGATAGAGGCCGAAACATGTAGTGTAGAAAGAACAAGATCAAAGACATATAATATATATTGTTTGCACTTGAGACGGAGCTTGTATCATTTATCATGACTTATGGGGCTTCTATAATTTCACATTCTAACTGTATACTCATATATATAAATGCTAATGAAGAAGTGATGTTATTAAGATCATTGAGAAAAAATTCATGTATTTGTTTAAGGGGTGGGCCTTCTTGGCCCTTGCACCGTGCCCACAGTGGTCTATTGTGCCGTAAAGTAAATGTATTTAGTAGCGTTTGTAAGAGTGTTTCATCGCCACACCCTTACTTATGACACTCTCTTCTTGAAGGGCTTAAACAAGTAGGAATAGCAAGGGTGGGATTGACTCTAGTCTCGTGACTTACAATTTAATGGAGCTAGAGCCGTTGTAGACGGCCAGTCACAGTAGCCGCGAGGTCTAAGGCATGAACTGTCTTCTCTCGCTCGGACGCTAGGATCATTGGTTCGAATCCCACTCAAGGTGTTTATTCTTTTTTTTTTGTGTTTTCCTGTGTTTAGGTAGGCGTCTTACGGCGAGCTGATCACTCGTCCAAGGATTCCTACTGTCTCTGAAAAATGATTACGGAACTGAATAAGAGGCCTGGGCCCTGAATGGGTTGGAAGAGCCATTGAAAAGTGAAAAAAAAAAAGAGTCGATATGGCAAAGATCTGGACTCTGAGAGAGCAAAGTTGAAATTGGTGGAAGTGTCTGGAAACACACCACGTGACTCGATGAAGCTTGTTGCATGAAAACGCATGGGAAAGAAAAGTTAATGACATAACAGGATATCGATCGAGGTACGCGGTGTAAGTGTTGAATAATTAGACTGAAACACTGCGGAGCGTGAGTCCTGCCTCCTTCAGGTACACGTATGAAATCTACAAAACAGCGAACTTGTCTTGACAAGTCCAGCGAGTGCTGGGCTGGGAGCACTGTTTGAGTAGCTAGTTATACATATTTTGAATAAAGAATTAACACGATATTTTGATCAAACTTAGGACAAACCAACCGCCATATTTTATAAGTTAAAGCAAATGTAAGGAGAAAATATTATATTAAACTCGTGCGCTTTGGTATGGTGTAAATGAATCAAGCAACGAAGAAGATTCTAAAGGGTTCTGACGATGGTGGATGACACACAGAATTACTGGGATTTTTGGACTTTTTTCATCGTCCGGAATTCTAGGTAATAGAGGACAGTCCTCTACTACCTAGAGTGTCCTCTATTACCTAGAATTCCGGACAGTGGGAAAAGTCCAAAAACCCAGTAATTAACGAAGAAGACTTTAAGAATTTATCTGCACGCCGAAAAATATCAAAATTAGATGAAATCTTCGAAACAGTATAAAATCTGATATGGAATGATCAGCATCTTACTGTCAGAATAGCTGTACCAGAATTGAATACCATGAAAGAGGCCATGCGAATATTTGGGTTTGAGGACAATTTTCGCGTTTATTGTGCAGTAGGACTTCATTGACGACCAACTGCAGCGGAAGAAGGAAGTTTGCATTGATCTTTTACAACGAGTAGAGGAAAACATCGAAAGGTTTAATGTAGTGAAAGTTGGGGGTTGAAACTGTTTCTTAGACGTGATCCTAGAAGAAAATGGGAGAGCATGCACGGGAACTCTCCAGGCTCCCCACCCAGAGAAGGTATAGATGTTAAAATAACAATGAAGACGGTGTCAATTTGCCATGTAGTCCATTGAAAGCCAGGAACATATCGCTTCCATCTTCAGGTTAGGAGAATAAGTAAAGTAATAAACCGGCGTGATGCCGGTAAATACGATTAGAACTTTCATGGCTACGTATTAATACAATTATTTAATTTTATTGACATTATCCATCTTCCTGTATTTTATTTAAAACGAAGTTTCGGAGACCGGACTCTGCCTCTGTGCTCTCCTAGGTCCGAAGATAGGGGCCATCTCTATCGATTAGGCCCAATTAAATACACTTTTTGCCACAGGGCAGAGGACATCTCCGAAACGTTATATTAAATGAAAACAGGACGATGTATAATGCCAAAATAATCAATAATTATATGAAGTAGGTAACTTTCTACACTGAAGATGGAGGCGACATATTCTTCCGAAACGTCTATTGACTTTCTCCGGACTAAACAACGTTACGTCCCAGAAGACAGAGCTTTTCTTAGCAGTGGTGTGGGCCTGTAGCTTGTACAGCATCCGGCCTAGGGCCAGCAAGTTTATTGTCTTTCGGAAGAAACGTCGTCATGCTCATCAGATGAGAGTAGAGAGGTCATAAAGCCTTTATTGGGGTGTGGAGAAAATATGACTCCGCACCCCTTGAGAATTAATCGCTGTTGGGGATGGAAGGGCTGTGAGTCTGGGGGAAGGAAAGACTTGCGCGTGGCATCAGTTGTACGAGAATGACGCACGTCCCATAAGTGTTTTAGCGAGACGAGCGGACAAACTTAGGGGCCGGTGATATTCTTAGTCCAGTACAAAGATAGTAGAGGGCAATCCAAACGTAAATACCAAGAATATTGTGAGTTATTTGGCGTTATTTACTCGTATGTGGCACTGTTTGCCCGCCAGTCCGTCGCATCTGGAATTTCTGCGATATTTTCGATATTAAATTACAATGAGAACTTGCATTAAATAGCTCCGCTGTCTGAAGCACGAAATGTACTCGCCAACTCGAACGCTGCTATCGCGGGCGCGGGTCCCACTCGAAGCATGGATGTCTGTCCGCGTTTCTTCTGCTTGTGTTGTCCTGCGTAGGTAGTGGCATTGCTACAGGCTGATCACCCGTCTAGGGAGTCATGCCGGCTGCCTATATAATTCATATTTCAGAATTAATGCGAATGGGCAATGGACAGAGAGACTAATCCGTTAAGGCAATTCCACTCAGGGCATGGATGTTTAGTATTTGTGTGTATGTGTTTTTCTGTGTTTGTGTACAGGTAGAGGTCTTGCGACGAGCTGATCACTCGCCCAAGGAGTCATACCGACTATCTAAGATTTGGTAAACCGAAATGAAACAGTTTCATGGAGGTAGATCAAGGCCAAAATTGGGGCCATAACGTAAAAAAAAAGGTCCGTTAAGGCAGAAGTCGAAGAAAACGAATTGCGTTGTTTTAGAGTTACTTTGGTCTGCCAGGACTGACACGTTACATGAACACCGCTCTGCACTCAACTTTATGACTAATATTTAAATAAATAGTGTACAATTTAATTTGAATATGTACTGTGTTACGACCGTCTTCTTGGAAAATGAAGTGTTCAAATATGGCTTTGCTCCAGACATGGTGGGACATGGAAACAAAAGAACTGTTGAAAATATTAATGGTATATTCAAATTGTTACTGTCATTCTTGGTGTGCCCACGGTTTATGGTGAAACATTGTCACTGTAAACTTTGTTGCCAATAGATCTGTGTCACGTAAGCGCGACAGGAGCCTGGAATCTGTGTAGCTGTAAGCTCGGCGCTGCTGTTACACAGTTGTGATGACTGCTTCATTATACTCTGTATGGTATTACCCTGTCTGCTGTTGTTTCGGTGTTAGGAACATAACAGATGAAATGGTTAGCTGTCGTAGTCGCCCAGTCCACAGGGTACAGAAGTCCTGTAAAACAATAGCCTGTAACGGCTGTTGCTCTTTTATGGAACTTTCTGCGTTCGCTGTAGGTAGATATGACTTGAACAGATAAATGCACGAAGTACTTGATGCACAGCTTGAAGTAAAACACGATCAAATAATCATACCGAAAGTATGACAAGAAATTCAGCTGTACGTCACCAAACACGAGACAGTATCATGGAAATTAGAGAGTCTATAGTACTAATTAAGGTTTACAATTATTTTAGCCTACGTTATTTATTGTATAAAAATATAAAGAGGCTTATTAGATCGCCTTGCTGTCTGTGTGCCCCTCCCTCCTTAATGTTGCTGGGGAGTGACTCGGTGAACGTGTTCTCGCAGCAATGAATACAGATGCAACAATAGAGCTGTTGGACATGGCGTTTTCTACGTGGTCCGTATCGTATCAAATACTCGATATGTAAGGAAAGGAAAGTAGGCGATTGCTTCTTCGCAGAGCTTATTGTTTTCAGAAAACGTAGTCCTGGCTAGCACGAAGTTCTAAATCTCACTGTGGATAGCAGTTCTGGCCTAGAACATTTCGTGTCTACGCAGTATTTGTGCCCAGGAACCTAATCAGGAGGATATGTAGGGTGGCATTGCGACTTGCAGAATAGGGCATATTCAAACCATTCTATTAATTTTAGTTCTTGTTCTCTTCCGTACCCCTGGCCAAAAAAGTCTCTTTCTGGCACCTTCTTTTTCTCTTTCTCTACACCCCGCATCTTAGGTATCCTGCGGTTCTTCATCTTATCCTAAATCAAGCATGCCCTTTGTCAGTAACTTTTTTAAACAAAATCTAAATTTATTTTACATATTGTTGTATGTCTTAATGTAATGCTTCAGACTAAGGACCTTGAAGTTCTCATTTATGCCGCTAACGATTTTCCCGTATTTAATTTGCCGCAGGTTTAACTGATTAATAGTTTGTACACTCTTAAATGTGTAATCCACTCTTTGAGAATCATATTATCACAGGGTCAGTGAATTCTTCCATTTAAGCCCTTAAGTTCTCATACTTCTTGTTTGTTTGCCGACAGTTTCTCGCTTTCGGATGTGATGTGTGTCCGTTCTTTCATGCGTTCTCTTTTTTTCCTTTCCGAAGCTGGTCAGCGGATTTCGACGAAAGCTGATAACGGAGGTCTAGTTGTACATTGACAGTTCTGAAACGAATTCTGCTGAAATCCGTATCGGGCGGATAAAAGCCGTATGACCTATCTAAAAGTTTTTGATGATGATACATTAATAAAAATATTACTTTCAGGAAGAGCCGGGATAGCGAAGTCGGTGTAGCGACTGGGTACGGTCTCTTGACGGCCGTGGAGTCAGAGATTGAGTCTCGGTAAGGCCAAGAATTTTCTCCGCAGAGTCAAAACCGGCTTTTGGACCCCACCCAGCCCCCCATCAGATTGGTACCGGGGGCCCTTTCTCCGGGAGTGAAGCGAGTTTGGGGTAAAGCTGACCAGTCACTTCCATCTAGTACCGAGGTCAAGAAAACTCCCCCTTAGGTCGTCGTAGCGTAGTGCTTAATTAGTTAAGCACAGGGATAACTTTACATTTATTATTTCATTGGACAGTATCCAACGTTCTGTTTTTGTCTAGAACACCGTCCTATTTTTATTTAAAACCTGGTGTTTCGGAGACTGGATTTTGTCTCCAGATTCAGGTGGCCAGAGATAGGGAATAGCTCGTTTGTGCTTTTAAATAAAACAGGATGATGGATAATGCTCAAAAATATACTGTTTTTACCGTATGTCCTACTTTACATGAAGCTTTACTTGAAAAGCGGCCGAGTACATCAAAAGTTTTGTGTAACAAAATGTCACTGCGATTTTTCGTTGACTTTTACCGGACTATACGAAGTCATATGACACAAAATAAACCCCTTCATTATCTTCCAATAATTTCGTATATGTTTAAAGAAATTTGAGGAAAAATAACTTAAACAGCTTATGCCTCCACTCAGTATGCATTATTTTTTTCCTTTGGCGCTACAATCCCAATTTGGTGTTTGGACCACCTCTATGAAACTCTCCGTTTCATTTCGGTTTGCTAGATCTTAGACATTCGGTAGGACTTATTGGGCGGGTGATCAGCTCATCGCAAGGCCTCTACATGTACATAAATACAGAAAAACGCACATACACACAAACATACCAAACATTCATGCCCTGAGTGGGATTCCAGCCCACGATCCCGGCTTCCGAGCGAGCGAAGACAGTGCATGCCTCAGACCGCTGGGCTACCGTGACCGGCTCAGTATGCCATTAGCCTATATTACTTGATTAGCTTCGCACCGGCAGAGCTCTGCTTTCTGTAAATGGAGACAGTATACAAAGCACGCATTGGAAGACGTGAGTAAAGTACTCACCTTTTTGTAGAACCGTGCGTTTGTCACCTTGTGGAACCCCTTCTTGAAGACCGCCAGGTAGTCTTCCGGCTCTGAGAATTTGAACAGTATCCCTGTGGCCGTTTTGGTGAGCGAGAACAGTCCCTTGAAGCTCATCTTCTCGCAGATGCTACTGGCTTTCTCCATGCTGAGCTCTCGGCTTGGTGTCAGCAAAAAGGCGCCTTTGGTCAGGAAATGGTCCGAGTCGGAAAGCTCTGAGTCCGATCCGTCATGGTCAGTGCCTGCCAGGTCAGCGGCCGCCTTCAGCAGCTGCTCTCCCCACATGGCGTCAGGTTGGCTCAGCCGAATCATCTTCCCGGAGTCTCCCGTCGTTTCGTGTTTGTCAACGGTGTCTGAAGACGCACCCCCAATGGAGGACATTTTTGTAGTAGGAAGACTCTCGCCTATTCTCGCCCGTTTATAGGACGGGATGTGACGTGTTATATACGTGATGTAGGGAGTGTTCGGCTAGAAGCTTATTGTATGGATATGAGAAAAGTAACCGTAATTGAGAACGTGAGTCACCCCACGGAGGAACTAAGTGATCACTTGAATATAATTGTGGAGGAACGCCTAGTGAATGCAGATTGGAAAGCGCGTCAGTAGCGCTGATAATTCGCCTGGGCCAACAGGAACTGTATGCTGTTTCATCAGGTTTAATGCTAACGATTTTGATGCTAACGACTAATCATCCCTTTTGTGATTACCGTTACTTTCTCGCTTTGTGGGGTCTGTGTTTGTAGTACAGAATCATCTGTTAAATTATTACCGTTATCTTCAAAAGTTAAGAACTAAATTGCATGTTATGTTTGATGCTGTCACAGCGACATTGTTAAATTTTGGAATATGACACAATATAAAACTGGGATATGATTGCCGACATTTCGGAAGAGCTTGAAGTCCCACATGCAATGTTGAAGAGCCCTAAGTACTTCAGCCCAGATGATAGAGGCGGCACACTCATCCGAAACGTCGGTAAGCATAATGCGTCAAGTCCTGGAAGACAGTAATCTTGAAAGTATGTGTTACTTTTCGACAGTAGAAATTGCATGTTACTCTGTAGCGAAAATGTGCAAGACGATCGTATATTTTCCTTAAAAGTGTGAGGTTTAGTCGTTCAAACTCAGATAATGACAGCGGCATCATTACGAAACTTTGTGTAGTAATCATTCCTTAATTCTTAGCTTTAATGTTTAAAATATTTATTTGTAGTATATTACAAGCCGGAAGATCGCGGGTTCAATTCTCGATGAGGTCATTGATTTCTTTCAATTTACCTAATCCTTCCAGCCGTACTATAACCCTGGGGTCGACTCAGTCTCTAGCAGAAATGAGTACCAGGAATCTTCCTGGGGAGTAAAGCGCGGCCGGAGCTAAGGCTGACACCCTTACCGCCCTCTGTGAGCAGATTGTTTAGAGAAAATGTCGGAGCCTCGACGTCTCACAACCCTGTGGGGCCTTCACGGCTAGTTAGAGGGATAGCTTTGCCTTATATATTTATTTATTCCATTCTTGAAAGAAAACATTAACTTACAGCGCAGTTCAGTCTGCAGCTGTTCATTACAATTGCTTCGTTCAAAGTGACCATAACCCTAGCCTTGAATCGTTAGAGTAGTTAAGACCTAAGTCAAGGTGGAACATACAGCTCGATTTAAGAAACTCGAAATATGAAAAATTTGGTTAGGAAATCTATCGGAAACTGTCCTATGGGAGGTGAAGAATGACATGCGAGAAATTATTATCTACATTTTAAGGAAATTATGAAGAAATTAGTTGTGTTCTAACATTGGATAGGGTATTACTAATGAAAGTTTTGGGTTGATTATAAGATATATATACTCAAATACTCAAAAAAGCCACAGAGAAGGTTTTAAACTGAAAGGCAAACTGCTTTTACGCGTCGGTTCTTACTCCACAAATTGTTTTATTTTAAGTGGTTGTAGTGTCCCATATGGAAATTCGATTCATATTTTAAAACACTATGTACATCCCGGCATCCTCGGTTACTCGGCCCACAGTACAGCCGAACTCAGTCTGCATTTCTGTCATGTTAGGACACAATGGCCCGCTGTATAAACATGTTATGGTCCAGTGGCCCTTATTAACTCGGTAATGGTCAAAGGACCAATTCAATTCTTTTGAATTCAGGACACCTGGAAGTACTGCATCCTGCTCTCGGAACCATATAATGTTCCAAATAATACGTTAATAATAATAGTTAACAAAATAAATCACGTCCTGCGATGTGTGTCTGCAGACAGATTGAAATTTACTCTGTGATACTATAAGTCGCAGGTTCTGACCAGTAAACACCAAAACCCGTCATTGAGCGCGGTTATGACCCACTGTTACCCACATCACGTCCCAAAATCCCGTCCCGTCACTTCTGAGTTTTGCCGTTGATCGCATTTCATGAAATTTCTCCATCAATATTCTGTATTCTTTTCTTTTGGCACCTAAACATTTCGTCTCCTAAACTACGTAATAAATAGCAACCAAATCTGGTGTAGAGAACGTAAGCTGAGCCTGACAGGTTCATTTTACTTGCGCCCTGCGGGTCTACAATCTCCAGTTTTCTGCCGAACAGATTGTTGCAGTAGAAAGTCTCCCGAATTGTATTAAAATTGTACAGTTTTTCGAATCGCGGACGAGTTACAAGCTATGCTGAATGAGTTGCGGGGTTTTCTCAGTCTCTTGAGACGAATTCCAGAATAGTGCATACAAATAGGTGACAACCGTATGATTGCTTATTTACATTCCTGATCATGTTACCTTTATATTCGAAGTTATAGGCCTCTGAGGTTCAAATTTTGTCGTTCAATGACCAAAAATCAAAAGAATCAGCCTCTTAAATTTTTGTTTCCCGTTTCCTTCTAACATGCCCATCTCTTCATTGTCCGCGTAGTTCGAGTCTGTGCCGTAACCTTGTATCTGTACTGTTGATTGGCATTATTCACATTAACTCAGCCTCTAACAGAAATGAGTACCAGGAATCTTCCTGCGGGTAAAGGGCGGGCGGCGCGTAAGGCTGACAACCTCACCGCCATCTGCGAGCCGATTGTCTACAAAATGTCGGAGCCTCGACATCTCACGACCCTATTTGCTTCCACGGCCTGATACAGGGATAACTTTACCTTTTTCTACCTTATATAAATGACTTTTTTCCAGGTATATTTAGAATGATCAAGTCGAGACAGATGAGATGGGCAGGGCACGTAGCACGAATGGGGGAGAAGAGGAATGTATATAGGATATTGGTAGGAAAACCAGAAGGAAAGAGACTTCTGGGAAGACCAATGCGTACAATGCGTAGGTGGGTGGACAATATTAAAATGGATCTTAGAGAGATAGGATGGGGTGATATGTGGGCTCTTGTATACACGGCAGTGAACCTTCGGGTTCCATAAAATGCTGGGAAATTCTTGAGCAGCTGCACAGTTGGCGGTCCTCAAGAAGGGCTCAGCTCCATGAGTGAGTGATATAAATGATTGCCAGTTTGCATAAAATAAAGTCAATATCAAGACTTCCCAAGTTTAAAAGTTCGCACAAGCATGCAGGCCAGACGGGAGGTGTATAAATTCGTAATTCCGTCCGATTTGGTTATTAGAACTCAACAGGTGTGCTTTTCTCTAATTTATGCAAACAGTAACACGCTTTTCGGGTCCCGTGATGATTTCCAAGCAGTTGCGGCGTTCTTCTCAACTGTTGCTTATGTTTCGAAGAGAAAGTGCTTACCTCGGTTTACTTTGAGATTACTGATTAAGACTGTGGTTTGAACCCTGGTGTGGATGCTCTTCGAAGTAAAGCTACTGGATATGACCTTTGGAGCCAAGTCAGAGCTCTCTATAGCGAGCTTAGTGACTATGACAGATCCTATTCAGATTTAAATAAAAAATCTTTATCACAATCCGTCGCAACGCAATCACGTGACGCTCGAGGTCATTCCATACGTGTGCAAGGGAAGAATATTTCCGCTATATGTCCGCTGGAATATAACAGTACGATCGCTGCAACAGACTTCATAATATGAAATATTCTATGAACAGTTTTTAACCATGTTTTTATTTGTATAACTTTCGTTCTTGTAATAATTTTATTGTATTTTTATACTTTGCATTCTTATAGTGTAACATATTTGTCAAGTACCCAGCTCTATTTTACCACCATATTGAAATGCACTTCAGTAGTTTGCGAGTGTAATAGCTATGTATTTGCCTGAGGATGGCTTTAAAAGCCGAAACATGTAGCTGAGATAATATTGACCTCGACCGTCTCGTTGTTGTGTTGCGTCGGATTCCAATAAAGATTTTTATATAATAAACACAACAGAATGCACTCAATGAAAATCTAATTTAAGTCCATCACATTGTTGTCCTGCTTAGACAATTGATGGGTCACGCCATAGCTCAAGCGGTTAGTCGCTGGGTTCCCACCGCGGCGCCCCAGGTTCGATCCCGGGGTCTGGTCAAGTGGGATTTGTGGTGGATAAAGAGGCGCTGGGGCAGGTTTTCTCCGAGTACTTCGGTTTCCCCTGCTAATCTTCATCCGACCAATTGCTCCACAATCACCCTCACCTATCATCTGGGGCTGGTACAATAGGCCAGAAGTGGCCGCACTACAAGGGACTTAGTCCGACCCCACTAACAATAAGTATTACAACCGCACACGGCCGTCACTTCTCGCAACCGCTGCTCACCAATTCTCGTGACCGTTGCCTAGCTATCTTTATGTTTATTTATTTGTTTGCCCGCTTCGGTAGAACACTTTTGACTCTTCTCAGGGTTGTGCCATGGTAATAACTGGGGCAATGCGGAGACTGCACATTTAAAACTAGTCCACTGATACAAATAAATACTCTATTTCTGCTTAATCACAATATTGTTTATTTCAGAGTCAACTATAACTTTATCGGCAAGTGCGGAGTAATGTGCCAAAGGTTAATCGAGCCAAATAAATACTGTTAAATTTAGATAAACTTAGAGAGAGCAGGTAAATGACGTCTGCCTCTGGTGAATTCTAAGTACCAAGTCCGATACGTCTGTCTCTGATGAATTCTGCACGCCAAGTGCTTCTGCCCACTCTATCTCCGGGAGCGTCACTTCTTACCGTATAGGATTTGAACCGACGGCCTTTCTCCCAGACAAGAATAGTCTTCTAATGGCTGATTTTAACTGCCAATTTATCATACCATCAGTACAAGACAATCACATTACTAACTTTTAGAATGAAGAGATCCAAAGATATTGAACCCGGGACCCTACATGTGAAAGCACTTATGTCTTAGTTTAGGGCAGACAACAAACATATCCTTTTCATAATTGCCTCGACCCTCTAACGGTCACCCAAGGTCCAGGTATCAAAATAAGTTGTTCCTGTCTAAATGCGAAAAGCATGTCAACTTCTTAAT